AACTTACACGCGCACACTAGCGCGTGCATGTTAAAAGTTGAGTAGAAAACGAACGTACACTGTAATCAAAGATACTAGAAATACAAGATAGAGTTCTCCACACCAAAAAAGTGTTCCACCGTGTTCCACCGAAATGCATGGTGGGAATACAAAAAATGGGACGCCCCCTACAGCTGGATCCAAAAAAAACTTGTGCCAAACTTTCGTTACCAAGTCGTCGCGTATTTTATTATCAATTCTCAACAAAGATACTAGATATAAAAACAAACTGGAATAGACACCCAGACAGTGACATTGGTGAATACATAACCTCCTTGGTGGCGGTAGAAATCGTTGCTATTATCCAAATAATAGACAAAACAATTAAAGCATAATCATGAATCAGTAAAGAATAAAACAACAATACAGCGCAGAATCGCATGGCCGGACGCCCTCTTAGTGAAAACGTTTTCCTCCATTGGTGGAAAAGGAAGGGCGCCTTTTGCGTCTGGATATACTTAGCAACAGAAGGGCGCCCTGTACGTTGGGCACGAAGTATAGGAAACTTGCATGGTTAAAAAGAAGGGCGCCGCCTACGTTGGGCACGACTTCCGCCTCATTTTTACAATGCGAGAACTCTATCTTGTATTTCTAGTATCTTTGCTGTAATGTAAAAACCAACTGAAAAAAAGCAAGCAAAGTAAATCGATATAAAGTACAAAACCTAATACATCCGATTGTACTTACTCTTTCCCAAGCATGGCTTTGACACAAGATGTTTTTCCAGAACCCTCGTTACCTAGGAACATCAGTCTTGAATTAACAACTGTTATTTCACCGTTTTTAAGTGCATCTTTGAATGCTTTGACGGCATCGGGACCCCTGGCTAAAATCTCTGACGGAACTGATAGTTCTATTTCATTCAAAAAAGTAAAAAGCAAAGAAAAAAAATCAAATACTTTAATAATTTAATTCACTTTCTAAATTACATGTATTTTAATTAATTGTGATAACGTTTTTTTTTTACAATAATAATAACAAAACGGATATAATATATTCTTATATATTCATTAAATGGCTCCTTATTGTGTCGAATTATTATAAAATAATAGAAAAAGAATGTGTAAGATAAGTGTTATCATACCTTCAAGTAAATTTTTTAATTTTGTCTTTTTCTCTCTTCTTGTGGATTCTTCGTATCTTTTACATTCGTTATCATCATACTCATCAAGAGGCGTCTTTCCAGACTGCAATAACAGACACAAGCACGCGATGATTGGTTTCATTGCATGGATGACGGTTGCAAATTAAATAAACAGGAAACAGTGGTATATTTTGGTTTAGAAACCAATGATATAATAATAAAATGGTAAATAATAATTTAAATATCAACACTATTAGCATTACAACTTTATAACTATTGTTGTAAATTACTATCACATCACATCGGAAATAAAAATATTCATTGAAATCATACTTCAAAAAGAATCAGCATTATTTACTATGATATTAATCGATTTAATACTTATATGAATTTATATTTATTACGTTGGTTTTTATTAGTAAAAGTGATTTTAGTAGTTTCATATAAAGTTGTTGTATTAAGGTCATTGACTGATATTCTTTTGATGCATTTCATTTTTCTGTACATTACCTCATTTTTTATTGTCACCGACGCACCGAAGGTGATCATCAGAATTGCGAGTTCCTTGTGTTGCTCGTGCGTCAGCTCCTTCTTCTGTAGACATTCATGTAGTGGTGTGCGTCCCCACTGCAATGAAATGATAATCAACGTCAAGTTTGTTGTACACGCACAACACAAGAATATAAATTAACAAATATTACGCAATTAAAACGTAAAAGTACCTGAAATAATTTATAACTGGTATAATTCATTAACGCCAATGTAATATGTAATAATGATAATAATAGGCCTATTAAAATTTATCATTATGATATTGATTATAATATTACGATGATGATGATCATGAGGACAAATAAAATTTAAATAAATACTAACATATAATGGAATGATAATATTACTCCAGCTAATAATATTTATAACGAAAATGATGCCGATGATGGTAATTGTGATGATGATGATGATGGCACTAACAATAGTAATAATACAATACTGTAATGATAATGGTGTTAAAAAGGATATTATTGAAATATGGCTTTTTATATTATAATACATGACGGGCAGTACTTAGTACAGTAGTTAGAATTATACAACGATAAATAAAAAAAACTATCTCAACCCAGTTGTAAATATAATAGGCCCTAAATTATTATTAATACAATAATATTAGATTACTTTTACTAAATTAGAACGTGATGTATTGAATGTGTTTGTGAGTGAATTAGTGTTAATTTGTTAGCAATGAATAAAGTGTTGTTTTCTTCTACTGTACTCACTCCGTCTTGCGTGTTAATGTTCTTGTTGTTTTTTTCCAACACGCGTCTCATTGCTGACGCGCGTGCGTTGAGCGCCAAGTATTGGAGAATAGTGAAACCAAAAGACTACAAGACAAACGTAGAATATGATGAGAAAGAAATAATAAACAACAACAAGAAACTATACACACACCACATATCAACAACACATAACAACTCACAAACATTACACATACATTACTTATTACATTCATCATTATTAAATACTAATTACATTATTTAATATTTTTAAAACGTGGTTTTTTAGGCGAAATCGCGCAAAAAATGTTTGTATCAATTGGCCTATGTTTTACACACAATAGTAAATTATTTACAAATTGGGATTTTTAACGAAAATACTTTTTGTGAAAAATATCAATTTTATTGTCACCAATTTATTCAGTAAACTGTATTAAGCAGAACAAATCCAAACATCACCATTTTTGTAAGTGTAATATGTATTTTTTCACAATGTTTCATATGAAATAGTGATAATGGCCATAACATAGGCTTTTTCTGTGTTGTAAAATATGTCAAATAAATCATGAAATAAAAGTCTCATTTTTAACCCAACATGAAATAAATCACTTTGAGTTATTTGTATGTTGTATGATGTGTACACATGCTGTGTGCTTGTGATGTTTAAAATGCTATTTAATTCCACTCACCTGCTGGTGTTCTAAACACTCAACTGTTGCCGTTTCAATCATATTCTCCAACACATCATCTGGTGCGCCGTACCTCACAGCGTGCATTAATAGCGTCTCGTCGTACTACGAAAACAAACATTATACTGAATTACGATACAGTTCATACAACTACCAACAATATTTTTTACGCGTTTCATAATTTCAATGGTACGATGATATTCCAATATCATTTAAGAACTACTAAATTATAAATAGTTAAAAATGTGTGTTATAATACACACATTCATTTAAATATATTATATTGATTTTATTTACGATAAATTTTTGGTCCTTTTTTCACAATTATTAAGAGTTAAAATAAGATTAACAAAAATACTGTAATGTTATTTATAAGTGTTTTGGAAAAGGGAATAAGGTACTGTGTCAGTGAATATGTCGAGACATAACTTTTACTGTAGTTGTTGAGTCATGGTTTATGTTTAGTATGTTAAAAAATGATATTACTGTACTAATAATAGGCCTTTTACTTAGCATGTCTATATTTTGTTAGTACAGTAGTATAGTAGGCCCCTATTATATTACCTTGTAAACTGTTTTTGCGTTATTGATAAGCTATTTTGAAAAGGGAGTACGTTACTGTGTCAGTGAATAGGTCTAAACATAAACGTATAGTTGTTGGACCATGGTTTTGTGTTTAGTATTTAAAAATTTAAAAAATGATATTAGCATGTCTATGTTTTGTCAGTACAGTTTAGTAGGCCCTATGCCTTAATAAATTGTTCGTGCGTAAACCACGTAACATTTATAAAACAGGAGAATACTTGACAACGGCGCGACGGTGTAAATGATTTTAATTTTATTTTTTTAAATTATTTTTAATACTGATTAACTAAAAAGAAGTAGGAACAATTAGATTTGATAAATCATTTAGTACGAAAGTCCCTAGACTAAATACTGTATGGCCAATTTAGTAGTTTGCGCCAAAAATATTAGAACGTATTATTTTTGTACGTCTGTAAAATAATGTGTTTTTTTTATTGAAACTTTTAACATAATAAAATACACAATGTAAGTAATTTAAATATAACAAATAATATTTTCGAAAAAAAATCATTAGTTTATCACCCCTCCCTCGTCACATTTAGGAAAATTCTTTTGACAGTGACAGTCAGTTATTTAAATATAACATGTGATCAAATTATTAATATAATACTATTTTTTAAAATTCATTTAATTAATGGACTTTTTCTTGAGAAATGAAAATGATATTAACAATTAAATGATGTGGATTTACTAATGAATTTAGATAAAATATTAACCAGAATAAATCAATACATGCCTCATTAAATCACTTTGTATACTGTTTTTTGTATGTTATATTGTTTTATTTTATAAGCACAGGAAAGCAAATTTCATGTATATTTTTATATGTGACAATAAAATCTATCTTGAATTTTGAATCTTGATATTGAATGCCATCGATATCGTAAAAGTGCAAGTTCAAATAAATATTGTTGAACTACAGAGGGCGCTAGACTCGTTTTTTTTAGTTATCAGGGAAACTTATCAATGCGGAAGTTTATCAACTAACGAACTAATTTGTAGGCCAAATATAAATAAAATGTATATTGGCCACACGGCTTGTACTTAACAAGAATGACAATGTGGTTTAATTGAGCATGGTGCATTTTAAACGAGAACTTCCTTTATAAAAAGCAATTATTGTGAAAATGTTTATATTTCTTTAGTACAGTGTGAATGGTAGAGGATAGTAATAAATGCTCATAATAAAGATATTTTCAAGCCCCGAAACCTAAATACCGGGCTGTGTTCAGCGTTAGATAATTTTACCATTTATTAAGTAAAGTAATAATATTGGTTACAATATTAGAATAATGGTTTGAAGACAAAAACATCAAAATAGACCCCTCGCCAATGAGATGGCCAAATATTATTCACCAAACATGGCTAAATTAAATAATAATAAATTTCTTTATAAAAACCATCAATATTGTTTTATTTATTATTAGTAAATAAACATCTCTTCATGGTTGGTTATTTCAGCATGGAAGGGCATTTCATTTTTTTTATTGATTTAATCCGTTGATTTTGTATCTTTATCAATATCTTATTCTAAATTCTCTGATTACAGTAAAACACAATTTATGTTAAATAAATTATTTTCACTAATATTTTAGTCTATAATATGAACACTCATTGGTATAG